CCCACTTGACTTCACTCTCCAGGATGTCTGGCTCAAGATCAGCAACCACACTATCTGGGTTGTCTGGGATATCCAAATCTTTCTGGTATAATTCCTCTTGTGTATTCTTGCCACCTCCTCTTAATGTCTTCTGCTACTATTAGGTCCCTACCATTTTTGGCCTTTATCATGTCCATCTTTGCACAATATGTTCCTTTAATCTCTCAATTTTTCTTGAACAGATTTCTGGTTTTCCCCTTTCTATTATTTTCCTCTATTTCTTTGGACTGTTCATTTAAGAAGGCCTTCTTGTCTCTCCTTGTATTCTTTGGAAGTCTGCATTCAATTTTCTGTAACTTTCCCTATCTTCCTTGCATTTTGTTTCCCTTCTCTTCTCTGCTATTTGTAAAGCCTTGTTGGACAGCCACTTTGCTTTCTTGCATTTCCTTTTTTTGTGTGTGTTCTTCACTTCCCTCTGCGTATTCATAAGGAATTTGGTGTAAATTATACCTAACTACCTCAGTGGTTTTTCCTACTTTCTTCAGTTTAAGCTTGAGTTTTGCTATAAGAAGCTGATGATCAGAGCTACAATCAGCTGCTACCTATCAGATAACACAGTACTGAGCTGACACATCAATAGTTTGGCTCAGTAGAAGGCAACTTCCCACACTGCTAATTTTCTCCTTGTCTTAAGACTTTCTTGTGCAGCCATGTCTATGACATGATATATCCATTTCACAGTTTGAATCCTTATTAGTAAACCACTCCCCTACAGGTAGCAATATCCTCTCATTTATCTCCCTTTACATTCCTTAACATAGGAACACAGCAAATTGTATTGCACTGAGTCATACATCTCTCCCATCTACCCCAGGTGTCATTCCACCACTGAGCTGTGCACCTGCTGCACCCCTGCACCTGTTTTCCAACATCCCACCTACTGTCATCTCTTTTGTTTTCTGTCATTCCATCCCTTACGGTCACCTTTCCACTTTTCATAATCACATTCTCCTCCTTCAACCCTCTTGAGATCTACTGCCTTTTTCTTTTTAGAAACACCCCATTCAAACCACTCTCGCGTTGATTCCTCCTTGTCTTTAGGAACTCCCAGGGAATTGAAAAGTTACTTTTTGTCAGAATTTCCCAGCCACCTTGGCTATGGTCAATGCTGGCTGGAAATTTCTGGGACTTTTAGTCCAAAAAAGTAACTTATTCAATCTCTAGTATATCCTAAAATCCATATTGCTATTCCTATCCTTTCTTTGCCCCTCATGTCAACCTGGCTATAATGCAGTTTCCAAATTAATTCCTGTGTTCTTCCCTGTGAAAACCTCTGGATTGTCCAAAAGAAATGTCATTCAGAGCAGAAAAAACACATACCACCATCTCTCCGTGGATCACAGGGGCATCTTCTTGGAAAATCCCATCTGGTTTTTGCCTCTCCAGAATCAGCCACTTCACTCCTCCACAGAGGACTTCGGTGCTAATAGTATTTACAAACTTGGAAGCCATGGCAAAGACCTTTACAACATATGCTGTCAGCCTGCAAAGAACATTAAGGATCAGCCCAACCATCTCAATAAAGACAATACAACTGGCTGTACACCTGACTTGTGAGCCAAACTTGGCAGGGGGGTTGTTAGCAAGGAGGGGTTCTCAGTAGTCATACAAGAAAGGAGAAGAACCCCTGGGTTCAAACCACTGGTGTTTTGAACAAGACCAGGAACAGTCAAGATGAAAATAGCACCCCCATCTCTTCACTAACATGAAGTGGAGTTGGATAGGGAAAAAGGCTCAGGCAGATGGAGAATGACCTAGAGTGTTACAGTACTAGTGGGTCAGCTTTGAGAAATACGTGTTGGGCACCAAATCATGGTAGTGCACATAGATGGGACCTTCATGAGGGTTAGTGCTGAATAGGAAGCAAGAAGGTTTGAAAAGAAGTCTCTGATTCGGACTCCTTCAGAGCTATCCTGGCCTTACCAAGTACTAGACTTGCGATCTATCCATGCAGCATATGAATGATCTGGTTTCTTATATGTCAACTGCTGGGCATAACCTTAAAAAAGAGGAAACAGAGGAGAATAAGGAAAGCTGTAGAATGCTAGGTCTGTTGATATTAAAAAATTTTGAATTTATGATAGTGGTTCTGAAAATTCTGTGCTGTGGCACTCAGCTGCCAAAACTAACCAGGGGTGCTGCAGCATCCTCCGAAATACTCAGGCTCCCCCTCCCACCTTCCTTTTCCCCCCTCACCCAAAGTATTATATTGGGGGAGTTGCAGCTAGTGGCCAATAAGTCAAGTCAGCTGTGAGTTGAAAAAGTTTGGGAACCATTGGTTTATGGTACGTGGAGGTGTTGCCCTAGGAATGAAAATTTCTTTTAAAATGTGCTTGAAAGTGCATTAAAAGTGAAAGTATTACTGAAAAACTACAGCTAAGGATACAGTTTACATTACAGCCAATTATTCTGGTACAAAATGTTACTGATAAGATAACAAGGCAGACATAGCTCATTCAGTTCATGCCAGTTTTTGTGAGAAAGAGTAAATAATAGACATTGTAAGCTAACATAATGTGAAACAGAGAGAACAGAAAAAATGGAAATGCATATTAAACTGCTGCCTGTGTTTTACCTATAATGTTAATCAGCAAAGAGATACCACAAAACAGATGTGGAAATGTATATTAAGCAAATGATAATAATACTATATTGTAGCTTTTACAGAACAGTATAAAAGGAGAAAAAGATTAATGTTATTTTAAGCAAATTGTTTAATGATAAGCATGTAGAGAAGAACAAATATGTTATTCGTTTTCTAAGGCTTTAGCTCTTAATTAATAGTTATTGAGTTTTGAAGAGGATTTAAACTAATATATATTTTGTAGTATCTATGAATGGATGTGTATTTATGTTGTATTGTGCTGCATTGAAAGTATACTGCATTATACTAGTTGGTAGTGCTCAAGAGGGAGAGAATTTTGCTCCAACCTTGAGATGGGCAGGTGCTGGACTCCACAGAAGCTGAGATGTGCAAGAGCTGCAATCTCAAAGGGTTGGACATTCCAAGGCTGGTGGGAGCAAGACCTTGGACAAAGTTTGTTTTGACTAAACAAACCCAGAGACCTTTGGGTAGTGTTGGTGACATATAAGTTAAATAAATAAACAAACTATAAATAGGGAGCAATCACACACTTTTATGGATGGAGACACATCCAAAGGGTACGCGAAGCATAGACGTGATGCCATGCAAACAGCTTTAGGACAGAAGAAAGACAACAGAGTGGCACTGATGGGCAGCCATGGATTTTACATAGGGCCGGCTGAGCTTTTCTCTTTTTTGGAGAAAATATTTTTCTCTCTGTGTCAACAACATGCTTAGAGCTAAATAATGGTTTTCACTTTTAAAGTTTTTCATCAGCTGGTGGAAGAGCAAGTCCCAAATAAATGCTTGTCTTACCTTTCAAGATCTGGTTGATTGCAGCGACTCTACGATCCACCCCAATCTTCTCCCACTGGCCTGTGGTGTCAAGGTAGTAGGTGGCGATAACGGCTGGTGTCATGGTGATCATGTTCTGCTCCCCACAGCCAGAAGGGGTTATGATGAGATGTTTCAGGTTGGTTCCATCAATTGAGTCTTCAACAATCTGAGCCACGGGGTCACCTGATCACATACATGCACAAATACAAACGCTAACATGTCAATCTGGGTGCAGAAAGGAGATGTGCCTTGTCCTTTTGCAAGACCTTGAACATCTACAGCTCTTTGCAGGATTGCTTCCCACTTCTGCAGTTACCTTTTGGGCATCAAGAACTACTACGCTAAGTGTTTAACTTTGGGTTCTTTCCTTTGGAGCCTTGTGTGGGAGCAGGAACCAAACCTTTGCATCACTTTACCTGTGGGAGTGGCTTTGCACACACTTGTGTTCAGTGGCATCAGAAGGGAAGGCAATGCAATGGAATGCAATGAGTTGCAGCAAAAGGTTGCTGCCTCAATGGACCTTAGATCCTGCTGACATCTACAGTTCTGGCGTTTTTTATTTTAAACAAAAAAGCACTTGCCTTGGACACTAATTTTGGTCTCAGGTTCTGTGCCAGGAACAATATCACCTAAATCCTCGGCTTTAACTTCCTCTTTCTGGACACCGCCTGGAGAAAAAAGGATAGAAAATGGGAACAGAAGCACCAATTACTGTCACATAAAACCCCTTTAACATTGCTTTGGCCTTTTTTCTCTGCAATCAGCTGTGAATGGAATTAGACAGAGATTTCACACAGGCACTTAACAGAAAAATAGGGCTGTTCACACATTACATTCACACCTGTGATCTGCAACCAAAGCTGCATGGATCATTGATCTGTAGACAAGTACCCTTATTCACATTGAATGCCATGTACATTTATTCTTAAAGAGTGCATGAAGGATGTTGCAGCATCCTTTTAACTATATAAAAAAGAGTATTCATTTGTCTTACAAGAATTTCTAAGACAACATCGTAGCTTTCATGTTGCTGTAAAACATACTCAAGCAGTTTAGTTATTCTATAAAGCTAATTTAAAAACAAAAAAAAAGAACCTCAAAAATTAAAAGAGGGGAAAGAGGGGAAGAGAGAAACATATATATGTGTGTATATATGCACACACATACATATATATAAGAAAGATTTTATTAGGAGCAGTTTAGAAAATGGTAGAATTTTTTTAGATCTGGACTAAGCGTGGGGAGTCTTCTCATAAGAACAATTGCTTGCAAAAGTATTGCTGCTACTTTAGTAAGTCCCAGTGTATGGAGTGAGATGTGCTTAGGATGTGACTACCTGGAAAGCTGATTGGTTCTGTCTAACTTATTGTAAGTAATCCAGTTCTGTATAAACAGCCAGTCAATGTCATCTGCTAAACAAAGCACAAATATGAACCTCTGAAAATTGAGTAAAATGCTAGGAAAAGACTGGCAAACATGTACTTGGCAGGCGAGGGGAGGGGAAGAGAAGAGAAAGCAACACAAGCAATTGGGATAACAAAGAAGAAGAAGAGAGAGAGAGACTTGAAGAGAATGGAGTCTGACAAAACAACTGTCCACTTAATTAATTAGAAAGAATCCTGTGATATCTTTAGACTAACGGGTTTATTTGACATAAGCTTTTGTGGACTGTGAAGTCTCAGTAAAGGTAAAGGTAAAGGTTCCCCTTGACAATTTTTGTCCAGTCGTGTTCGACTCTAGGGGGCGGTGCTCATCCCCGTTTCCAAGCCATAGAGTCAGCGTTTATCCGAAGACAATCTTTCCGTGGTCACATGGCCAGGGCAATTTAGACACGGAATGCTATTACCTTCCCACCGAAGTGGTCCCTATTTATCTACTTGCATTTGCATGCTTTCGAACCGCTAGGTTGGCGGGAGCTGGGACAAGCGACGGGAGCTCACTCCGTCGCGTGGATTCGATCTTACGACTGCTTGGTCTTCTGACCCTGCAGCACAGGCTTCTGCGGTTTAGCCCACAGCGCCACCACATCCCTGAAGTCTCAGTAGACAGACATTTATACAGGAGAGGGAATGATATATAATAGATCATTGACAGCCGTTGGAAATGACAGCTAGAGATGTAAGTGGTGGCTGTTAAGAAACATTCATACATCATTGATGGTGATAACAAAGCTAATAAAGTCTTTCTCTAATTTAATTCCAATATAGTGGAAGCCTGTGGGCCACAATTCAGTGGGTCTATATGCATACTGGTTCTTGTTATTAGGGTGGGACAGAATGAGGTAGGTACAGAATGTGATAATTGTATTATTAACAGTGGTCACACATTTTCAAAGGGTTTGTTACCGAAAGCATTCTGGCTTCGTCACACATTTTCAAAGGGTTTGTTACCGTAACCATTCTGGCTATAATAAGTTGAGTTGTACAATCAATTACCCCTGAAGTGTTATAGTAAGTAGTTCTCCTTACCAGACAGTGACTGTTTTAGATGAAGCCAGATGTAACCTGTTTTGTTTCACAGTCCATCAGGGAAACTGTTATGCTATATACAATAAGGTATTCATGTCACACATTTTCAAAGGGTTTGTTACCGTAACCATTCTGGCTATAATAAGTTGAGTTGTACAATCAATTACCCCTGAAGTGTTATAGTAAGTAGTTCTCCTTACCAGACAGTGACTGTTTTAGATGAAGCCAGATGTAACCTGTTTTGTTTCACAGTCCATCAGGGAAACTGTTATGCTATATACAATAAGGTATTCATACATACAAATCTGTCTGGCTATTTGCACTGAAGTAAGAAAACCCTGACAGTTAGTGTAGATGGCAGTAAGAAAACCCTGACAGTTAGTGTAGATGACGTGATGGATAAGGGCTCAGGAGACCTGGGTTCAAACCCCACTCAGCCATGGAAAACCACTGGATGAGGGAGGTGGGGTGAAACACTCCTGAAATATCCCACATACCTTGAAAACCCATTAGCATCACCATGAATTAGAAGTGACTTGACAGGACATAACAATAACACACCAACAAGAAAAACCTTGTCTTTATTAAGTCGAGAGAGGAAGTGTTGAACCTCTTGATGCATCTGTCTCTGAAGTTCTTTTGTGCAAGGACAGGAATCTAGAGGTCAGAGACGAAGATGAAAATAGGCGGTACGGACCACTGATGCCACCTGGGTCTCCATGGTGAACGCTGGGTCACGATGGACCCCCAGGCTGTGAACTGAATTCTTTGTGGTGAGAGTCACACACCCCCAAAAAAGTGAGGGAGTTTCCCAAACCACCACTGTCTGGGCCACCCACCCCCAGGACCTCTGTCTTGTCCGAGTTCAGTCTCAGTCCATTCTCCTGCATCCACCACAGCACACGTTCAGTCTCAGACCATTCTCCTGCATCCACCCCAGCACAGCCTCCAGACAGCGCTGAAGGGACGAAACAGCATCCACTGTTGGTGGAGAAAATGAGCTGTAGAGCTGGGTGTCATTAGCATACTGATGACACGAAGCCCCACACTCCCTGATGACCTGACCCAGTGGCCTCATGTAGATATTAAACAGCATTGGAGAGATAATACAGCTCTGCAGGACCCCACAATTAAGATTCCATGGAGCCGATACACTCTCTCCAAGCTGTATTCTCTGGGGGTGGTCCTCCAAGAAGGATCGGAGCCAGGCTAGTGCCAGACCACCAATTCCCAGCTCAGAGAGCCTCCCCAGGAGGATACCATGGTCAACGGTATTGAAGGCGGCTGAGATACCAAGAAGAACCAACAGAAACATTTTGCCCCTGTCCGCCTCTCTCAGCAAGTCATCAAACAGTGTGACCAGTGCTGTTTCTGTACCATGGTGTGGCCTGAAGCCCAACTGAAATGGATCCAGGGCATTGGTTTCATTCAAAAGGGCCTGGAGCTGGTCAGCTACCACCCTCTCCACCACTTTGATGAGGAAAGAAACATTGTGGTGGGCCTATAATTGGCAATGTCGTCCATTGCCAAACTTGGTTTCTTCCTAACGGGCCTAATGAGTGTCTCCTTGAGGGCAAGGGGAACCTTGCCCTCCCAGAGAGACCCATTAATTATTGTAGTGGCCCATTCGGTTGTTATAGGCCTGGCTGCTTTGATTAGCTGGGCCTGGCAAGGGTCAAGGGAGGAGGTGGTGGCATGACAGTGGTCAAGTGTTTTGTCCACCATATCTGGCGTCACAGGCTGAAAGAGATCGAGGACAAGGCTCAGTGCTGGGCATCTCTGCTCAATCTACAGTATATAAAAAAGGAGAGAGCTCCCAGCAGATGGCCTTCACTTTAGATTTAAAAAATGCTGCAAATTGGTCAGATGAACTGGTAGGAGGAGGCCTTAGACCAATTCCGGATAGATTGCAGACTATGCCCAAAAGTTCCACCTGCTGATTTGAAGCTTCGCTTATCCGGACAGCGAAGTAAGCTCAACTGGCAGCCCTCACCCTGGTAAGGTAAAGGTTAGTCGTGATCCTGACACCTTTACGATTATAATCCATAAGGTTATGTCTCCACTTGCACTCTAGCCTTCTCCTACTTTGCTTCATAGCTCGCAGCTGCTGGTTAAGCCAGGGTGCTGAACAAGCTCTGCAATGGAGATGGCATTTAAGAGCGATCGTGTCAACAGCCTTGGTAGCAGCGGCAAGCCAGCCATCAACCAGAGCCTCGACAGGAGTGCCAGTTAGATGAGGTGGAATCCCTCTCATGGAGTCCTGGAATCCTATATGATCCAGTCACCCTGCGGGGATTGAGAGCCACTGAGTGGTTGCATTTAATTAGGTGGTGATTCGACCATGACAAGGGGACAGACAGAAGGTCGGTCAACATCAGACCACGCTCACTTCGCTCAGGGGAGAACACCAGGTCTAACGTGTGACCGCACATGTGGGTAGGGCCGTTAACATGTTGGGACATGTCTAAGGAAGCCATGGTTTCCAAGAACTTAAGAACCAGGCTGGAAACCTCTGCCTCCGCATGGATGTTGAAATCACCGAAGACCAAAAGCCTTGGAGATTCCAACAGTATTGCAGAGACGAAGTGTGCCAGCTTTGGTAAGGAAATGGCTGGGTCGCAAAAGACCAAAAGCCTCGGAGATTCCAACAGTATTGCAGAGACAAAGTGTGCCAGCTTTGGTAAAGAAATGGCTGGGTCACAAGGAGCGTGGTAACCCAGCAAGATCCCAATACCATCCCTGGCCCCAATCAACATGTGTAGGGCCTCTAGACTTGGTGTTACCACTGCACACTCTAGAGTGTTTTTATAGACAATAGCTACTCCCCCCGCCCTCCAGTCTACCCTAGTGTTGGACTGCATAACCTGGAGGGCAGGCAAGGGTCAAGGGAATGCCCCCTTCCCTAGCCATCCAAGTCTCAGTTATGCATGCCAGGTCTGCATTCTCCTCCAGGATAAGGTCTTGGATAATCTGGGATTTGTTGGATACAGACCTGATGTTCAGCAACATCAGATTTAGAGTGGAGGGATGGCTGGTCTGACTACCTGCAACGAGTAGGAACTGTGCCAACGCCATCTCTCCCTCTACCCGTAATCACTCTGATGTTTCAAGGACCCCTGCTGGGGGGGCAGGCCCTCCACACTATGTCAATCAAAAGGAAGGGAGAAAAGGAAAAGACCAGAAAGATTACACATTAATAAATCAAAAAGGACCTGGAGCTGGTCAACCACCACCCACTCTACCACTTTGCTCAAGAAAGAAACCTTGGTGACAGGCTTATAGTTGCCAATATCATCTGCCGCCAGACTTGATTTCTTCCTGATGGGCCTAATGAATGTCTCCTGGAGATACCTGTTAATTATTGCAGTGGCCCATTCAGTTGTTACAGGCCTGGCTGCTTTGATTAGCCAGGCCGGGCAAGGGTCAAGGGAGGTGGTGGCGGTACGACAGTGATCAAGCACTTTGTCTACCATATCTGATGTCACAGGCTGAAAGTGATTATATCTTATCAGGCAAGGCAGAATGCTGGACATCTCTGCTCGATTTACTGTTTTCAAACAGGAGATAAGATCCCAGCGGATAGTCTCCACTTTAGATTTTAAAAATGCTGCAAATTGGTCAGGTGAGATGCTAATGGGAGACCAGGCACTGTGACCAATTCTGGATAGATCGTGGACTATATGGCAAAGTTCTGCCTGCTGATTAGAAGCTTCACTTACCTGGACAGCACAGTGAGCTCCACTGGCAGCCCTCATCTTAGTAAGGCAATGGTTAATCGTGATCCTAACAGCTTTCTGATTATATTCCATCGGGTTCCATCTCCAATTGCATTCTAGGCTTCTCCTATTCTGCTTCATAGCTCGCAGCTGCTGGTTAAACCAGGGTGCTAGATGAGCTCTGCAATGGAGAGGGCGTTTAGGAGCAATCATGTCTACAGCCCTGGTGGTGGCAGCAAGCCAGCCATCAACCAGAGCCTTGACAGGAGCGCCACTCAGATCAGCTGGAATCCCTCTCATGGAGTCCTGGAATCCTATATGATCCAGTCACCCTGCGGGGATTGAGAGCCACTGAGTGGTTGCATTTAATTAGGTGGTGATTCGACCATGACAAGGGGACAGACAGAAGGTCGGTCAACATCAGACCACGCTCACTTCGCTCAGGGGAGAACACCAGGTCTAACGTGTGACCGCACATGTGGGTAGGGCCGTTAACATGTTGGGACATGTCTAAGGAAGCCATGGTTTCCAAGAACTTAAGAACCAGGCTGGAAACCTCTGCCTCCGCATGGATGTTGAAATCACCGAAGACCAAAAGCCTTGGAGATTCCAACAGTATTGCAGAGACGAAGTGTGCCAGCTTTGGTAAGGAAATGGCTGGGTCGCAAGGAGCATGGTAACCCAGCAAGATCCCAATACCATCCCTGGCCCCAATCGACATGTGTAGGGCCTCTAGATTTGGTGTTACCACTGCACAGTGTCTAATAAACTCTAGAGTGTTTTTATAGATAATAGTTACTCCCCCCGCCCTCCAGTCTACCCTAGTGTTGGACTGCATAACCTGGAGGGCAGGCAAGGGTCAAGGGAATGCCCCCTTCCCTAGCCATCCAAGTCTCAGTTATGCATGCCAGGTCTGCATTCTCCTCCAGGATAAGGTCTTGGATAATCTGGGATTTGTTGGATACAGACCTGATGTTCAGCAACATCAGATTTAGAGTGGAGGGATGGCTGGTCTGACTACCTGCAACGAGTAGGAACTGTGCCAACGCCATCTCTCCCTCTACCCGTAATCACTCTGATGTTTCAAGGACCCCTGCTGGGGGGGCAGGCCCTCCACACTATGTCAATCAAAAGGAAGGGAGAAAAGGAAAAGACCAGAAAGATTACATATTAATAAATCAAAAATACAGTGGTGCCCTGCTGGACGATTACCCCGCTTCACGACAAATCTGCTTAACGTTGAAGTTTTTGCGATTGCAAAATGATGTTTAGATGTGGGAATTTTGCTTAACGTTGATCGGTTCCCTGTTTCGGGAACTGATTTTTCACTTTACGACAATCAGCAAACAGCTGATCATTGGGTTTCAAAATGGCCACCGGCTGTAGAAAATGGCTCCCTGCTGTGTTAGGGATGGATTCCTCGCATTGCAGGCACCAGAAAATGGCTGCCGTATGGAGGATCTTCACTGGACAAGCAGGTATTTTGCCCATTGGAACACATTGAACGGTTTTCAATGTGTTTCAATGGGTTTTTATTTCACTTGACGACGTTTTCGCTCTACAGCAGTTTCGCTGGAATGAATTAATGTCATCAAGTGAGGCACCACTGTACATTAATAATCAAATTATTAAAATTAATTAAACCATAACATAAAAATAGACATATAATTTTAAATTAATCAATACCTAATTTAAACAATTAAAAATTTAAAGCATAGAAGAAAAGATAAGAATAGAATAAAAGACATTCCACACCCAGGCTACCACAGTGCAGCATTGTTCTCTAATAATAGTTTTCCCAATGAAGAAAGGGAGACAAAGTCAGCCCTTGACCCTGCATCTAAGGACAGTCCTTCCCACCCAGGGATGTAAGGGAAGTGTGACTGTCCAGAATGAGCTCTAGGTTGCCAGTGATATATTGGAGTGGGTTTAGCTGCAAAAAGAGAGGTTAGTTACCGATGAATCCATCACGTTGTCATCTCTATTTTTCTGACAGCATGAGAACCGAGGGGACATTAGGCGGGTGGAGCATGCGCTCCACAGGAAGTTACCGACGAATCCGTCACATTGTCATCTCTATCTATTTTTCTGACAGCAGTGGACTTCATGAGAACTGAGGGGACATTAGGCAGGCGGAGCATGTGCTCCACAGGGAAACGTCCCACTAATCACACGTCTTTAAGTTCTAGAAACTTCCAAGAGGTCCTGTACAGGCGCAGAATAACCCAATTGTGTGCATTCACAGCACGAAGAAGAACATAGGTTACTACTGGTAGGGCTGTGTTGTTCCCAGTCCTGGCTGTATGGAGAGCCTCCCCTCACCACCCCTGGGCTGAAAAGAATGCTCACCAGCAACTACAGATCTTGCAACAAAGATACAGGAAATAGGAACCAGACCATATCTGAAGAAGATGCGCCCTGCTGTTCATGAAAGCTTATGCCAAAATAAAACCTGTTGGTCTTTAAGGTGCTGCAGAACTCTGTGTTGCTTTTGCTGCAACAGACTAAGATGGCTACTCCTCAAGAAGCAAAAAAGGGAAGCACAGGAAAAGAATAAAGAGTTAAGTGTTACTTACGTTTTCCGTGTGTTGCTGGATCCAGGTCAACAACAGTCACAAGCTTCCTTTGCATTCCTTCAGGCTGGTAAAGAAGGAAGTACAGGAATTATGAATGTCACTTCAAAAAAATTTTTTAAAGAGACAACAGTCACAAGCTTCCTTTGCATTCCTTCAGGCTGGTAAAGAAGGAAGTACAGGAATTATGAATGTCAATTCAAAAAAATTTTTTAAAGAGAAGAAAAGGGCAACTCACAATGGCATCAAGTCTACTTTCTGGAAAAAATACTCTGAAAAATTTTTTAAAGAGACAGAAAAGGGCAACTCACAATGGCATCAGGTCTACTTTCTGGAAAAAAATACTCTGGTGTTCAGTAAAAGTATCCATGCCTGACTGTACCATTAAGACTGGGAAAGTTTTAGCTCAGACCCATAGATTTCAGTAGCTCAGTTATCTCAGCTGAGAATCCCTCCATCTGCAGGTAACACCCATTAACATGTAGGCCACCCTTTAAGGGCCTGGATATCCCAAAGTCTCCCATTGATACATCCCTACCGGTTTACCACCAATGCCACTAAGAGAAGGAAGAGCTTTTTAAAATTCCATCTAGTATTTAAAAAACAAGGATCATCTAAGACAGTGGTCCCCAACCTTTTTAGCACTGCAGACTGGTTGGGGAAGGCGGGGCACCCCCCACCCTTGCACACAGGCAGGGGTCTGCACTCACACATGCATTTGGACACTCTCATGCATGTGTGGAATGGGGGGCTTGTGTGCGCATGTGTGCACTCACGCACATGCACAAAGGGTGGGTGCACACTTGCGAATGGCAGGGGACACTCGAATGCACACTCAAAGAGGCTTTGTGGGGGGGAGTGCATGCAGGGGGTGGGAGGTCTGTCTCCATGGCCACGTCTAGCCCAGGCCACAGACCGGCACCGGGCCACAGACCGGGGGTTGGGGACCCCTGATCTAAGACACTTTGATACTGAAGGAAGATGATCCAAAGAGTTCAGTTCACCAGGGGATAAAATATATTTCTTCTGTTTAGGTTTTCAGTATATTATTTATTTCTTTGATCTTGTTCAAATCATGTGTTTCCCTCTTGGTGCTTCAGCATTCCTAATCTAAGATTAAATTTCCCTTTGATTTCATAGATCTACTAGAAGGGATCTCTTGTTTTTTTCCCTTTCATTGTCCTTCTATAATTCTTAGCACTGTGGATTGTAATAGTTCTCTTTCTGTGTAATAGCCGCTGAAAAATGGCATTCAGGGTTCTGAGCCTCTTGTTTTTTTCCCTTTCATTGTCCTTCTCTAATTCTTAGCACTGGGTATTGTAATAGTTCTCTTTCTGTGTAGTAGTCGCTGAAAAATGGCATTCAGGGTTCTGAACCTCTGTCACATTTTATTTTTGCTTCTTCCCTCTCCTGTACATTTTTAAAGTGTTTCTCATGTCACCCATCTAGGTTTTTCTTTTCTTTTCACCGCAGGAATTGTATTATTGCATTTTTGTCTAATATCTTTGGTTTCAATCCACAGGTCTTCTGGGTCATGGTCAATTGAGTTTAGTAATGCAAATCTATTTTACTTCCTTATGTGGACTTGATCAGGAATGTTGTTTAAATCATATTTTGGCACAACAGTTCTTTTAGTGTTGTTCTTCTGCTTTAATGTTGGATATTAATAGTTCATGATCAGTATCACAATTCCCTCCTTGTCTTGTTCTGACAGAAAGAATGCAGCTTCTTCATCTCCTGCTTCCAATTACATAGTCTAATTGATTTCTATATTGACCGTCTGGTAATATCCATGTGTATAGTTGTCTGTCTGGTTGCTTGAAGGATGTATTTATAAGAAACAAATTACTGGCTTCACAGAGCTCTATGACTCATTATTCTGCTTCATTTCTCTCTCCTAGGTCAGCCCCTACTTATGTCATTAGCGGCAAGGATGACCTAAGGCACTTTCGTATTGAAGGAAGATGATCCAAACAGTGCATCTCACCCCATCATCACACATCTAGTCCACCAGGGAACAAAATTCAGTAGCATTTTCTCCTGAGCAGGTAGTAATTGGGAATTGTACTAGAGTACTGCTGTGACTTCTTTTTCATTTTCTTCATTAATAGTATTTAATTACACACAGCACAACCTTCTTCCAGATTTTATACTAATTTCCAGTGTATAACCATTCATATGATTGTTTCAGTTAATAATGACTACACAGCATTTGCAAATATTAGGTTACACTCCTGTTATTCAGGCAAAGGAGACTACATCTACCATTCAGTAACTGGAATGTGCAAAGTGTTTGCCAGCAGCTCCCATTTGTTTAGTTCTGTATTCCCACCTTCCGGATGCATTGAGCCTAATTCCAAATGCTGGTCCCAGCTAAAGTACAGTGGCTGCATCAATTCCAGATGTGTGAGTCAACAGGTATGCAAATCTCAGAGGCATTCGACGAATCTAGTCTACTTGGGAGTAGCAGTTTGCTTTGGGTCTTGGATTACAGTTCCCATCATCCCCATCCCAGCATGGTAACCACAGATGGAAAACCCAAAGCCACGGAAGGTCAATTTCGACACTGGAAATAGGTATAAAGTTCATTTTAAAACTCCCGTTCCATGGATCTCCCATTTCAGCCACAGAAGCTAAGTGTGGGGGAGGGGTAAAAGAAGGAGACATTTTGACAGAAGGCATTACATCCTTTGAGTTTTCATTTCTAATCATTCTTGGCTACCATTCTTTCTCAGAGGAAAAACACAGGCTACTGCACCCTCACGTGATCAAATGATGGACTGGAGATACCAAAAACAAACAAACAAACAGCCAAAGGATATTAGGCAAAATCCAAAGAAACGAAATGAAACAAAATAAAGACAAAAATATGTGGAACCTTAAGGATTATTCCATAGTTTGTACTGCTACAAGTTAGTCTTCAAAATAGGTCCCTTTCTATACTGCTGCAGTTGACAAGGGAGGCAGAGTGTATACTCTTATTAGCAAGACTGTGGTCTAGATCTGGATGCTCCGTTTCCTCAGAGAGCCTGACTTGTTACGTACCACGACTTTCAGCTTCTTCTTCACACCATCAGACACCATCACACCCCAGACAGCTGCTTTGACCTCAATGTCATGGATCCCCACTTCCAGTGGGACAATCACTATTGGCATTGCCCAGGATGACTGCTTTTGAATTCTAAACTCCTGTCGGTAGCGTTGCTTGGCAGTGGAAGCGCTGCAGAAGGCGGGGTTGTGCATCAGCTCCACCCGCACCTGAGGAGAAAAAGAGAAACGGGTGATTAGGAACACTGCCTTGACAATGTGAAAAATCGTGAACAAGGAAGAATAGAGCTCCTGTCTTTAGGTCAAGAAAAAGGTGGGGACAGGCTCATTTTCACGACCAAAGGGAAGAACTAAGACACGCAATGCACTCCGGAACGGTTCGTAAGAGCTCAGAAGAAAGCTGTGGCACAATAGTTAAATATGCCTATGTAGATCTTAAGACACTTCTTTTCTAAAAAAACAAAACAAAGCAAACAAACAAAACACTCAATGGTGCTTAGTATTTGGGATCACCAGTGTGGTGTAGTGGATAGAGTGCCCCATTAGGAATCTGGAGAACAGGGTTCCAATCACCACGTAGCCATGGAAATCACTGGGGAATGGAACTAGTAGTCATTCCTTAATATCTCACTTGCCTTGAAAACCCTCTTAGGGTTGCTATAAGTTGGTTGTGACTTGGCAGCACGGAGTAACACACACACACACACACACACACACACAACTTGATTGTGTTAATAAACTATTTATGTGTAGCACTATGCATTCCCTGTATTCCAAAAAAATTAAGAAAAATGCTCTCTGGTTGTCTCTAGCAACCAGTTCACATATCATCCTTTGAAAATACCTTTCAAAAGACAATAGACAAGCAAAACAACATGCCACCCCCCTTGCAAATGAGTGACATGAGGATAGCACAACATCTGGAAAAGGCCTGCCAAAATGCACAATATCTGGAAAAGGCCTGTCAAAATGTCCCTAAAATGCTTAAAACTTCCTCTCTCACAGTAGTTCAAAAATGGTACTCGTTGCATCAAAAGTTAAGTATATGACCACATGCTATGTTACTTATGAAATGAAGCTTAGTTACATCTTCCTTATCCAAAAGAGCAATTAGTCACACATAACTACATTACATATAACTTGTTTCCCAGAATCCAGTGGAATCCCCAGTGTTACGACTTTTCCTCAATTCCAACCACGGACCCCAATCAGAATCTCAAAGCTTACCTTGATATCCTGATTCCCATAGTTGTAGAGAACAGCCCGAATCTCCACCTGCTCATTCCTCACCACCGAATAAGGCACCCTCAGATCAATAAAGAAGTCCTTCATTACCGTTATTTCATAAGGGTCAGCCACACAGATACCTGTCCAGGAGATCAAGAGGGAAGGAAGCAGGATCAGAAGAATCCATGGCACCTGCAAGTCAGTCTTTTTTGCTTTAAACATCTCTTCAGTGTGAAAATCTTCAGGAAGGCAGCATTACATCCCGAGTTTAAACATCTCTTCAGTGTGAAAATCTTCAAGGAGGCAGCATTACATCCCGAATCCTGACCCACCACCCACTATTTTTACCTTTTTTTTCAGAAATGCTCACAGCCAGCACCTCCCAGGTTGTGATGGAATCTTTCAAGTAAAAAGACACGATCTTGGATGAGATCCTATGTACAATGAGAAAGGTATTGTGCCATGTATAAGGGAGACTGTTTACAGTAGAAAATTGAAGATGGGATCTAAATTTGATTACATTCATGAGGCTGCTGCTCAATATGTAACTCAAACGATAACTCTCCATGTCCTGATGTTATAGCATTGTTTGTACATTTTTCCTTCCTGTCAGAGGCTGCCAAGTTCCTGTCTCAGAGCCATATTAGATGAGATAGCAGCTTGACAAACAGAAGCAGAGGACATTAAAATAAAAACCTGCATAAAGTATCTATCTCTCAGTGCCAAGCCCTTTACCCAGCCCAGTCCAACAGGCAAAAGCAAAGAGCAGCATCATATCCCCAGCCTGCAATTTCCTGATCTTGCTTATTGTTTTCTCTTTTTCTTTGCACAAAGAGGAAGAGTAGGCAGATGGTGCATTATAACTGAGGAAACGCTTCCCATTTCCCATGGACCATGAAGAGAAAACCCTTGTCCCCAGTCAGGATCTCCCCATTTCCTTTGTTCGAGGATGGCCCGGAATGGGAAACTCTAGAGCAGAGATTCCCTCAGGCCCAAAGAGAGGGGAATGGGAAACTCTAGAGCAGAGACTCCCTCAGGCCCAAAGAGAAAATTTTGAGTCCACAATCCTGTGTGTTCTGTGGGAAAGACAAGTCTGCCTTCAGAGTGAAAGCAGGGCAATGGAAAGAAAAGAATGCAGAGCCTTATACCCTTGATTATTAGGCGCTTCAGTCAGCACTTTTGTTTCCCACAGCCAGCTCTCTGGAAACTCAGTCCTGGAGACAATGTCTTCATCGGATAAGAATTCATCATCAAAGGCACCTAGGGAAATAGAAGACAGACTAAGAGCCTGGTCTCACTAGTAAAAACCCTCTATTTAAAGTGTGTTTGGTCCTTTTTTAAACTCATTTTAAAATTGAGTGGTTAAACGACATATTTGCAAGCCCGGATTAACTTGACAGGGAATGGATTTTTTCTCTGTGGCGGCAATTTTTTTTGACCCATTTATTTTATGGTGGATGTGGAATCAATTCATTGAAAGTGATTCCGCGTGTGTGAATGATGCTCCCGCTGGATGGCTCTCAGTGCCATTTGTCCCTTGTTGTGGTGGTGTTATTTTTTTTAATTGTTGCAAATGAGTGCAGCAATATACTAGATAACAACAATTTTAAAAACCACAACGTTGCCCTGATCAGCTGTTTTGCACAATCCCTCAGCTGGGAGGCAGACCCCTCTGCAATCTGACAACAGGCCAGCCGCTGGGAGAAGGAGGAGGGATGGAGATGGGGCAGCTGGGTGTCCCTGGGGAGAGGGTGGAACTGCCCTCATTGCCCTTGTGTTGCCAGTTCCTCTACCATGGGATGCGGGTGCAGGGCTCCCAAGCAATGGGCAAATCAGCTGAAGGGCGCCTGGCTGCTGCTTAAAGCTGCCTTCTTCCCAGGGGGTAGCCAATTGTTGCAGCTATTGGAGGAAGCCACCTCAAAAGCTGAAGGGTGACCACAGCGAGATTATAACTCCTTTTGTTTTAGAACACAGTTTATGACACAGTTATTGTGAAGTGCAAGCAGGCCCTAATCTGGAAATTAATTTATTACTATGACATGTCCTCAGAAGAGATTAGAAAATGACCCAAAGCTAATTTTCTGTGACTGTCCTCCTTATAGGAAGAACAAATGCACTAAGGTTGATCATGATCAGGCATTCCAAGGCATTTTATGAAGAAAGAAGACAAACAATCAAACAGAGAGCTACTTGCTTCTGGCCAAGATAAGTTCATCCTCCCGTTGACTCGCATCTCGTATGCTTTTGATGTAGCGGCAACATTCAAGGAAGGCAGCCCGGCATTCATTTTGATCATCAATGTATTCTGCACGCTTTTCACAGGTGTACCCCATGGGATTCTCATGCATGCCATCTTCACAGCACTTTCTTAGCCTCTGATCCTGATACTGAGCCGCTGAAACATCCAAGTCAAATAAGATATCAGAAAATATCTGTCCCCAGCCCGCGACCCTGTACCGGGCCATGGCACGCCCCCCACGGACTTAGGACCCCCCACATACAAGCACAGATGCCTTGCCCACAAATGCACATACGGCCCCCCACATGTATGCATGGGTGCCCTGCCCATACACACACGCCACCCCCTGCCCGCCCACCAAACCGGTTTGCAGTGCGAAAAAGTTTGGGGACCACTGCCCTAAACTAGTCTTGCATATTACTCATAGCAAGAGACAGAGGGGAACTGATATGTAGGTAAAGGCTCTGTGAATGAAATGTTGACTAGCCTCTGCCCTAGCCAACTCCAAAGAATATACAAACGTTTGGACTTCCTGTTTATTTTTAATGCATTGCCCTTATCTTTATTGTTAAGTACCACATCAGAAGCCTTGATCGTATGTCAAAACATACGACCTAAGAAGCACTTAGATCGTATGTTTTGACACTCAGTCAACCAGCCGTAGCAGTTCCTAGCATTCCTTACCACTGGCAATGCCTCTTAGGCCTCATGGGAGTTGCAATCCAATCCCACCTAGAGAGGGACACTTTCCACCCCTACTCTTGATCCTCTGTCCCCAAGGGAATGTTACAAGTTGATGAACTCCCTTCTCCTCCATTTCCCCCTTTCCTCCAACCAACACCCTCAACATTCTTTAACTCAATGGCCTGGAGGTCTGGAAGTCACAGAGCCTATGGCTTGTTCAGCCATTTAGGGATTAACTGTTGCTGCTTCTTTTAATGTACAAATGGATGCACCCTTTGCCTGCATGCCCAGGGAATCCCATGACTGAGGAGAAAGTTTTTGTCCAATCACATGCCCATTTCATAATTGTATTATATCTGATATTACAAAACTGCCTCAATCCTTTAGAGCAACCATTTTCAACGGGAACCATCTGTCCCTCTAGGGCAGAGGTGTCAAACTCAATTTTATCTTGGGCCACATCAAAATTATGGCTGCCCTCAAAGGGCCGGTTGTATCTGTAAGACTATATAAATGTATCTGTTCTTTATCATATTAAATATACTGTATTTTTTTGCTCCATAAGACGCACTTTTTCCACCCCAAAATGTGGGGGGGGAAGTCTGTGCATCTTATGGAGCGAAGGCGGCGATTTCGCCCCCGTTGGCCCCTGGAACACTCCCTAGGAGCCTTCAGAGACTCACCCTGCCCCCCGGGGGTCAGATGGGGCGAAATCGCCACCTTCTGGGACTCTTCTGAAGCTTCCCAAGCCTCGAAAGAGTCCCAGAAGGTGGCGATTTCATCCCCTCTGGCTTCTGGGGGGAAGCTGAGGGAGCCTCCAAAGGGTCCTAGGGTGTGTTCCATGAGATGGGCCTCTCCATAAGGCTCACCAATTTTTAGGAGAAGAAAACAGATTATTTTTTTTCCCTGTTTTCTTCTCCTAAAAATTTGGTGCGCCTTATGGAGAGGTCCGTCTTATGGAGCGAAAAATACGTAATCCTCCTCATTCGATGGCTGTGAACAAAAAAGGTGAACATGGAAGTCAATCTGCTGCTTCAAGTTGGGGTTTAACCCCTTTTTTATTCCAAAGTGCAATATATAGGTACAAACACTTTTGGGGTTGTCCCCTTTATCAGGCAACATCAACTAGAAAAGGAGAAGATGACATGCTTTTATTCAGAAACCCAAAGAAGACTCACAAAAACTCTACAGTGCCACTTCGGTAAAAATGGATAATGAGGAAAAGCAGTTGAAGGGTTGCAAGGGCAATCCCCATGCCCCAAGTCAAGTAGAGTAAGGCAGGAAACCTCACCCCTTTCAGAGGTCTGTGGGCTGCCCCCCAATGTCTCTCCACAGCAGCACTGACCCGATCAGCCTCTGCCCACCTGTTGACTCCTGCTCCACAGTCCCATCCATGTTTATTTATTTTGTTAATTATTCACGGAAGTCTCCCACTTTTCCCTCATGCTTGCCATGGCCCTCATCCCACGTTATCACCTGGCTCCTCACTCGCTTCCATAGCCGATGAGGGAGAGGAGGTGGAGATGGCGCTGCTAGGCGATGCCATCTAACAGTCCTTGCTGGGAGCCATGAGAATGGGAGTGGGCAATAGTAAGGGCTACATTTCCCAAGGTGCTGTACACCGCTCAAGCGGCTGCACTTTCTGACTCTTTGCTGCTTGGAATGCTGGGATTAGAAGTCTCGCTGGGTGAATTCCCAGCATCCTTGTGGAGCATTATGGGTCACCGAGTAAGCGCCTGAGTATTGTATATTGCACATGAGGGCCACATGAAACAAGCGGGTGAGCCGGATTCAGCCCATGGGCCTTGAGTTTGACACATGTGTTCTGGGGGACCTGGCACAGTCAAAGGGGGTCATGACTGAAACATGTGAGAAACGGGTTTTTATTTCATCTGCTTGTGCTGTTTCCTTGTTTGACAGGGGGCCCTGTAAGCTGAGAAGAACCCCTAAACCGGCCTTGGCCAAAAGCATGTTGAGAATGGCTGGTTCAGAGAACAGGAACGTTTGATGCTTTTCACATACCTTTGCTTGCCTTCGACTCAATGAGTTGGACAGAGCGGCGCCGTCTCCGCCTCGCAGCTTGGGGGCATTTGGCATCTGGGAATAACAAGAGAGGGAGGAACAATTAATACCAAGAGGAGAAACAAGAAGATAGAGCTGTATTCTAACTCTGATACTATGCATGTTTACTCAGAGGTGAATGGGGCTTGCTTTCATGGCAGTGAGAATAGGGCTGCAGCCTTAAGTAAAAACTACATATGTGTGTCGGTTTCTGTGTGCCTGTGTCTGTGTGATGTATCCCTGACAACTACAATTTCTAATAAAACAAAGTTTATCCTTAGAAATGTCAGCTTTCTAAAGCTTGTGGTATGTCTTTGCAAACCATGTTGAGGATGTAACTGGGATATTAGCATGTCGTCACCAAGATCCTCCATCTCAGCATCCTCTGTCCAAGATCTTAGGGCATCCTTCTCAGATCGTTATTACTGCAGGGAACAGACCACTGAGAACTGGCTGTCAGGTAAAGGACACTTTTCACGCTGCAAATCCTCTGTCAGATCATGGATCTCATCATACCTGATCTTTGTTTTGTGGAGAGCTTATTACTGGTCTCCAGGGTAAGGCCAGCATCTTCAAACACACCCAGATTGTTCATGCCACTGCCAGCTGTACAGCCAATATCGCTCTTTTCTACCGTGTCCCAGATCTGTAACAAAATAAACACAAGCCATGGGGGAAATAGTACATTGATTCAGCAAAGTTCGTGAACAAACATCTGAGCTTGGTGTCTGACATCTGAGGAATTTCCTGCCTTACCTTACTTTGGGTAAGCTTGTACTTTTTGTTTAGGACGTAAACCCCTTTGTCCACAGCCACAAGACCGACCCGAGCATTCGGATCTCCTTCCACCTTGATTTTCATTTGAGCTCCTGGCTGTTGTATTCGATTGTCAGCCTCAGTTGCTCCTTTCACAACCAGCTGTTTGAACAAAGGCAACCAAGAGGTTCAGATTTGTGACAGGGAAAGTTGAAAACCTGCTATTTTCCTATCATAGGCTCTTAGATAAAGTTCTGAATGTGGTTCAGAAGTCTCCTGTCGTTTCTCTTTTAGACTCAGTGGAACCTCCATATCTGCTAGATCAGTATCCACTGATTTACTCAATCAGGGCCGGCTGTCCTCAATGAAATCAGATCACCAGAAGCAGTTTAAATTCTGGTAGATCCATTTCTTGAGTCCAGGCCAGGTTTTCTAAATGCCCGGGCCAGGTAGGAGGTGCAAAAGACTTCCCTACTAGTCCTGGTAGGGGGACACAGTTCTCTTTGTTTCTTCTCTCTCACTCAAGTTGTCCCTGGCAGGCTGGGTTGGGGTCTCAGTGAAGATGAGGCATAGGTGCTCCAATCCCGACTTGTGCTGTGATTGCACAGGGAACTGGAGAGATCAGGTTGAAAGTGGCGGCAGCAGCTCCAGTGTGAGATCTGAGTTCCCCAGGCAGTGGTGCAGATTTCCAATGTGTGCAGAGAAGGATGGGGAGGAAGAGAAGGACCTAACTGCCTCTCACCCTTTGCCCACTGTCCCTATCTATTCTTCACCTTCCCCAGCCTATCCAGACTGGCTGACCACCCCCAAACACACAGATCAAGGACAGGTGTGTGTGTGTGTGTGTGTGATTGCGGACTGGCTGACCACCCCCAAACACACAGATTAAGGACAGGTATGTGTATGTGTGATTGCAAGAAAGTGAGTTTTTCCTTTTCATTCTCTGAACTCAGGGAGAGAGAGAGAGAGCAAAAAGTGAAAGTTGCTGCTGCAGCCTCAGTTTGTAAGGGTCTGTTTGCACAGGTAAGGTGGTAGCAGTGGTGGGGCTTGCTGGAGCAGCTGACCTACAAGAGGGTGGGAGGTGCTTTCTTTCATTAACTAATTATTGCTGTTGCTGTGCAACTGCACAAGTACTGTATTTTCTACTTTTTTTACTGTTTCCCACACTTCTCATTATCTGCAAGGTGTGTGTGCCTTGGAACCAATGCCTTTCAGATATAGGGATCCTACTGTATATAGCCTAATTTACAACGCACAACTGAAGACACAGGAACTGTCCGGGAAAAGGCAAGTATAGAGTTCCCACACATTCACCACAGCATCTGTAAAAGGGTGCCATGCACTGACATTGCTATATAAATCTTCAGAAAGACTGACCTACCGTTCCCATACAGGTGTCCTTCACGTCCACCCAGACAGAGTCGGCCACAATCTCATTGTTCCCCACTGGGTAATAAGCCAAAACACGGAAGGAAGGGATGAGATCTGGGGTGATGCGCAGAGACATGGTGACCAGATTCTGTCCGGCTCGCCTCGGCTGCCTCCCAACCCTCAGTATCTTCCCTTTAGTTAAGATCTAATGATAAACAAGACATTTTATTAATCACCCACAGCATTCCTATTGACATCTCTGTTTTTGATAAGAACTGCAATATTCCTTTAGACCTGTGATTCTTAACCTTGGGTTTCTCAGGTGTTGTTGGACTGCAACTCCCAAAAACCTTCACCACCAGCTGTGCTGGTTGGGGTTTCTGGGAGTTGCAGTTCAAAAACACTTGAGTAACCCAAGGTTAAGAACCACTGCTTTAGACCTGAGATTTTTTTTTCTTCCTAAGCACTTTCAAATCTCATGAGTGGTTCAGATCTCCGGATCAATTGATTCTGTTTCTTATGGGTGAGTGTATTTTTTGTGAAAGAGTACTTTTCCATCACTTACATAGCAACCTTCCCTTTGTAGGTTCACTACAGCCAACTGGAACCTTGTAGTGGAGGCTTTTATTATTTTCCTCAGGCAGAGATGACATCACTAGCATCTCACCATTGTTCACAGACTGAATTACCATCCCAAATATAAAACACATTGGCCAGCTCTACCAGCAGAGTGGGTGCAATGTCACTGGCAGCAAAAGATGGCAGATAATTAAAGAGTCTCTCCTTCAGTCCTAAGTCATGTGTAATGAGACAAAATTGCACACAAAAAGCAAAAGCAAAGTATGCTGTTTATATACCGCTCCATGGAGCATGAGCAAAGTATGCTGTTTATATACCGCTCCATGGAGCATAAGGTGTTCTCTGGGTGGTTTACAGTTGAATTATGCAGGCTACACATTGCCTGCCCCATCCCCAGCAAGCTGGGTACTCAATTTACTATCCTCAGAAGGATGGAAGGCTGAGTGAACCTTGAGGCAGTTGTCTGGTATTGAACCTAGGCCATGAGTAGAGTTTTGGCTGCAATATTGCAGTTTAACCACTATGCCACAAGGCTCCTCCACAACCCAAATTCAAAGCAGGAACACTTTAATTAGGAGCAATCTGCCATTGATGCTGATGTCACTCCCACTGTGCCAGGGAAAATATGGAGTAGGAAACTGGCCAATACCTGTACCAGAAAATGGAAACTACTCGGTAAAAATGCCATGGATATAGAAGAATGCCAACCTCTCTGCATGCAGGCTGACTTCATTTTATTTAATATGACAGATTTCAGAAGGAGTGAGATGTTATCTATGAATCACTGGAAGGAAAACCTCTATGCAAGACAGAGATGGTGGAGTAACACACATTTAGCTTACTTACTTTTGTTGACTCCTTGTAAAGATAATCTCTGAAGCTGCCTTCTGCCCAGGAATTCTCAAGAAGGCAGAAATTGTAGGGAAGGTTCCTAAATCCTCCTTCTGAACAATGGCTAGACCTGTGGTTTCCTCCCCTGTAACTTCAATGTTATGTAAAATGATTCAGGCCTTGGAGCTCCAATCTGTCCACATCTACAGTACTTACCATGTAGGTGAAATATGTGACTCCATTCACCACTTGTTGGTTGTTGCTTCTCAAATTGAAATTGATAGGTAAGTTGTCCCCAGCCTTGAGCTCAGTAGCTGAGACTGCTAAATGCAGGTAGTTTCCAGATCCTCCCTGGGTTTGGTAAGCTCTAGCCACCATGCTCTTGGTTGCCTGGCGTTCTCTTGGAAGTCCCTCATGATTAGTTTTTACCTAGAGTGTGAGAGGAGGTTAACCAAGTCTGACAGAAATCATGAATCCTTTGAACGACAACCTCAGATATGAGATCTATTATAAGCCCCCCCTCTCTCAAAATCCCACCCCCCCTAATTATTTTTCTTTCTAGTCTGCTCCATTTGCCAGGGGTTTACAAGTTGCCTACCCATGTTCTGCATGCAAAGCATGTGCTCCACCACACCATTGACCAATGTCTCCTACCTTGAAAGTTCACACGTTGCCAATAGATCACAGTTTTGTTTCTGTGTGTAAAAAACAGGCTGACCAACAACTACAATGCATTTGAAGGAACTTTGAATAAACCTAGGGTGACTTACAGTGATCCTTAGCTCTTGCGCATTTCCTGGTGTGTTCAGGATCAGCTTGGCAGTCCCATCATTCTGTGTTATCGCATCTGCCTCAATGGGCTCTGACACCACAGGGACACGTGCGGCTGGGGAGCCATCAGGATTGGTGACATACACCTGGAGCAATTCAGAAGAAGTGACTGAGCATGAAATCTAGATATGGGAGTATGAAATCTAGTTGTGAGCCTAAACCACTACTGCTGCCACATCTGCAACGTTAGAGTTGTACTGCTATTTATGTGTTTCTTTCTGGATTTGAGAAAGCAGAAACACACCATGAGAGGAAAAGAGACTGCAAATAAGATTACCATCAGTTCATAGGGCATCGCTGGCTTGAAGTACTTGGGGGTTTTGGTGAAGTGGATCTGATAGGGAGATGTCACAATGCTGATGCCACTTTTCTCTGCCACCACCATGTCGCTGCCTGCAGAAAGAACATAGGGAAGGCAGGCTAAAATATGAAGCCAAATTGTTCAAGGGGGAGGACATTTCTCTCCCAAATTATTTCAGTCAGCCTCTTGAGATCCAACAATTTCCAAATTTTCTGTTTCTTAGGGAATAATTCCATCTCCACTTGTCTTCTGAAGAAGCTCTATGTGTTGGATAGACTACAAAATCTATTAAGACTTTTGAGGAGAAAACCACACAGAGAGGTCATATTAACCAATGCTGGACTTTGACAACAAGGGCCTTGTGCAGAAAAAGCAGTGCAGCACATTCTTGCTGCCAGGATCGAAATGAAACTGAAACACAATGCCAGATTCTAAAACATGGACTGACTTCATAAAGGAAGTCACAACCCTGGTTTTGCAAGAGCTGAGCCAGTCTATTAGTGGTAGGACATTTTGGTGGTCAGTCCTTCACAGGGTCACCGTAAGCTAGAGATGAATTAATGGTGCATAGCAGCAATTACTACGACGACTACTACTACTACTACAACTACGACTACGACTACTACATGTTCTGTGGTACACATTTACCTCATATACAGCAAGGGCCTAGACTCTGGGTCTTTTTGCTGCCCCATGTGAGCTAACAAGCAGCTAATACTCCCCTTGCCAGAGGGTAAGTTCTTTCTTGGCATCTTGTCCCACACTGACAAATGCACTCCCCCTTTTCTGCAGTGAATTATAGAATGTGACATGTGCTCCTTTAGACATCCAAAGTACACACAAATTGACATACTCTCTATCACAGAAACAGGCAACATTTCTGTGCACAGAGACCAGTCACTCTACTGAAGACTGATACTGTACTTCTGCATCATATGTCATGTTTCCCTGAAAAAAAGACAGAGTCTTATGTTAATTTTTGCTCCCAAAACACATTTGGGCTTATTTTCAGGGGATGATTTTTTTTTTCATGTTTTACCCACTTCCCATTTATTTGTTACTTCTAATATTTCGCCTTCTGTAATTTGTGATTCCATCATCCCTTTACTGTATCTTCCTTCTATATTTTACCACCTCTATATATTTTTTACATATGTAGCAATCCTATCTAGATACATTTTATTCCCCATACACAAATCTTCAAAAACAAACAAACAAACAAAAACCAACTTTGAAAAACCCTCATAAGAATATAAAAACATAAGAAGAGCCCTGCTGGATCAGGCTAAGGGCCCTTCTAATCCAGCTTCCTGTATCTCACAGTGGCTCCACCAGATGCCTCAGTGAGCACACGAGACCACTAGATACTTGTCTCCTGATACAAATCCCCTGCATCTGGCATTTTGAGGTACCTTCCTTTTAAGCCTGGAGGTCATACCCCCCCCCATCATGGCTTGTAACCTGTGATGGACTTTTCTTCCAGGAATCTGTACAATCTCCTTTTAAAGGCATCTAGGCCAGATGCCATCACCACATCCTGTGGCAAGGAGTTCCACAGACCAACATGCTGGGTAAAACAAATCTTTTCTTGAGAGATCAGCAAATTCATTCCTCAGTTCCTTAATAACCCTTAGTGGATGCCATCTGGGCCCAGTGACTTATCGATCTTCATTTTATCAATTAGGTTTAAAACATCCTCTCTTTTAATCTGTAAATGATTTAATTCATCAGTCAAGAGGGGCCGTTCAGGCAGCGGAATCTGCCCAAGGTCTTCTGTCATGAAGACAGACATGAAGAACTCATTTAATTTCTCTGCAGTCTCCAAGTCCCCCTTTACCTCCCTCACCATTCAAAGGGCCAGCCACTTCTCCACTTCTCTGGCAGGTTTCCTGCTTCTAACATATTTGAAGAAGCTTTTATTATTCCCCTTTATATTGCTAGCCATACGTTCCTCAATGTTTTTCTCTGCCTTCCATATCATCTTCTTACATTTCTTTTGCCAGAGTTTGTGCTCCTTTTTATTTTCCTCTTTTGGGAGGGATTTCCATTTATGAAGGACCCCCTCCTTGCCCTTTAAAGCCTCTCTAACTCCACTCATTAACCATGCCGGCACCCTCTTGGACTTAGTTGAGCCCTTCTTTCTTTGCGCTATACATGTCCGCTGGGCTTCTACTACTGTTGTTTTAAACAGGCTCCATGCACTCTGGAGAGACTGGATTCTCTTTACCTTCCTTTTCAACTTCCGGGATAGTCGGGAGACCGAAACAGGCGCCCACTGGGGTGACTGCCACGATGAGGAGACCATGCCCCTGTTTGATGACCTGGTGGGGCCAGCCCTAAGGGAAAATAACACCCTGGTTCTACCAGGGCCCTGGAATAGCACAGGGGTAATAGGGATGAAGTTGCTTTCACACTCTGTGACCACTGGATTCTAGTTTCATTTTCCAGCTTTTTGTTCTTGATGTCTGAGATAATTGAGAGAAAACCCACTGAGTACAGTGGGCTAGATGCCTTCTCTTTCACTCTCTGAACAGGAGAGGGAAGCCTTCCTGGCTCAGAAACAGAGAAGGAAAATTCATTGCTCCTAGCTGTCACAGGAAAGGTCAGAGGAAGCATTAGGGTGATTATGGGCCATGGGAAGACTACCAAGGCTTCAGGTTGCCTTTTTCTGGTACTTAAGTTTTGATGGAAGGCCATTTTGAGAAGCAAATGAAGAATAATGGGCCAGCACCCTAAACTCCATGCCTTAAAGTGCATAGAATTGTTATGAGTCATGTTTTCTGTGCTTCTCCTGATTGTAGTTGGGCTAATATTGGTCAAAACTGAAGCCCTTGGTCATTTATTTTCCTTTTCTAAGGGAAGGGACAGACTGGGAAGATCTATCTCTCCATGTTTTTTCTCTGCATCAACAGGGAGATAAACAAATTCCAAATCTCCTGAACAAGGGCTTCCACGTGCTGAGTTTGATGTAGAGGAATCAAAACGAAAGAAGCAGAAAACACAAGAATCTAGAGCAGAAATATTTGAAAGGCCTGAAATAAAACTTTGTAGTATAACAAGCAAGGCAGACTCCAGTAGTTGTGCATATGAATCATTTGTGATTTCCTTTTGCTTTAAACTCATCACTTACCTGAATCCGTCATCACTGTTACAGAGACATAAAGGGAGTGCCCAATGAGCTCGTTGGGGTTGCGAAATCTGGATTGAAGCATAGCTCTTGTAAGCACCGCTTCCCCTTCCCCTTCAACAATCTGCAAGGAAAACATCAGACAAAAGAGAAAATCAGAGGCATAAACAACCGTCACCTGTACACACACATACATTGCAGCTATGTGTACAACACATTACAAAGGGACCTGTCAGCAACCTTTGACACTGCACATGACATGAGCTTTGGTGCTGTTTTTATAAGCATGCATTGGCCCCATTCTTAAATCGCACCAGGGCTTCCATCACCAGCAGGCCAGTTCTGGGAGGCTTCCCAGCTGCAGCAAAGGATCACAGTAAAGCCGGATATGTAAAACTGCTTGCCTGTTTTCAGGTAACCCACAATCAAAAGCATACTGTGGGTTGTATGAAATGTAGTTCTACACACACACTCACAAACACCAGTAGCCTTACCGGAATTCTCCTGAGTGATTCTGGAATGCTCTTCTTGTCATTATCTATTTTCACTCCAAAAAGGACAAAGGCTACGCCTTCTACTTTTTTCCCATAGAGGAATCTAGAAGGACAAAATGAAATTAAGGGCCAAAGTAGACCTCTTAGTTTCTTCACATGTCCTGTTCACACATAATGTGGGAGGAGAGAGGTTTCATGTCAACATCCCATGGGGTTTTGATTTTGATTTTCTTTTCTTTGTTGATTCAAGCTCTTTTCTCCCAGCCCAGCTGGGGAATTAGGCTATTAAAAGCAGAAGTCTGGATGAGTCAAGAGATATTATGAGACAGGAGGGAGGATTGAGCTCCTTTTCCTGTCTGACTAAAATTAAATGCTCTGTCCTTCTGCTTAGGGAGATATATGAAGAAATGTGACCTGCCTCATCACGCCTGTCACAGTTCCAAAAGCCTAAAGGAGAGCCAGTTCTATGAATGTGTGAAGAATTTCTGATCCAACCACCCCAAATTCTCTCCCGAATCCATGTGCTTTAACACTAGGATTTTCTCCAGCTGAGGACTTTTTCCTGTTTAATGGTTTGTGCTTATGAACATGGATAGCAGATTTCTACAGTTCAACTGCACTACAATATGAACTGTCTGTAGGGAAAATGAAATCTTATTCTTGTCCAGGTCTCTGTCATTTGTTTATGCTTCAGAAATGTGGATGCGAAAAGGATGGAAGATTGACAATGTAAGGTAAAGGTAAAGATAAAGATTCCCCTTGACCTTTAGTCCAGTCATGTCCGATTCTAGGGAGCGGTGCTCATCCCCGTCTCCAAGCCGTAGAGCCAGCATTTGTCCATAGACAGTTTCCATGGTCATGTGGCCAGTGCGACTAGACACGGAATGCCATTACCTTTCCGCCGTGGTGGTACCTATTTATCTACTTGCACTTTTACATGCTTTCAACCTGCAAGGTTGGCAAGAGCTGGGATAAGCGACGGGAGCTCACAATGAACTAAATAATTGTTAAACTTTAGAAAATAAACTGTTCATGATTTCATGATGGAAGGCCATTTTGAGAAGCAAATGAAGAATAATGGGCCAGCACCCTACACTCCATGCCTTAAATTAAATTAAAAATTTAAAAATGTTACAATTTTCTAGTAGACATGTTTGAAGTTGTTTCTAGATGAAAATTCCTAATACAGTGGTGCCTCGCATAACGATTTTAATTGGTTCAAAAAAAACGTTATGTGAAACATCGTTATGTGAAACACCATTTCCCATAGGAATGCATTGGAAAGCGGTTAATCCGTTCCAATAGGCACGGATTGCCGTCCTTAAGCGAAAAAACCCATAGGAAACATCGTTAACACGTTGAACTGAAATACACTGTATAGCTAGTCAATCTTTTTTTTACTTAATGAATTGTATGTGTGTCTATGTTAGTCTGTGTGTCTGTGTCAGTCTAAATAGGCAGGATATAAATCAATCAATCAATCAATTAAATATTGTTGTATGTTCATTCCTTATTAATGTTTTGCATTTTTGTAAATTAAATAATGTTAAATATTCCTAGTAGACATGTTTGAAGTTGTTTCTAGATGAATGTGATTGGGTTCTTTTGTGAGTGGAGGCAGGCCAGGAGTTTCGGCGGGAAGAACGGATGGAGATGATGCAGAAGGTACAAAAACCGGTTCTTTATTTCGATTAACATCAACTGTTCCCAAACTGAAGGGATCTAACAACTCAACATCAGTTAACACATAACATTTCCCTCTTGTATCCTTATGCTCTTTAACATCTTTCAAACTTTCTTCACTCCAGGGGTAAAGTTGACCACTGGATTCTGAATGGGTGCGCTCAATACTGCGCAGGTTGTCCCGCAACATGGGTGCTTGACCAGTTGCCCCTCCAGCCACAGGAGATGGGGTGGGAACCACATGGTGTCCCTTTCATCTCTGAAACCATGAAAGACTGAACTATCCCCAAAATCCATCTCCCTCCTGCTCCACACTTATCTTTCTTAGACACGTCCGGTGTATCTGGCAGTAACCCTCCTCCATTCATCAAGTTGGGGAAGTCTTTCACTAACTTCGCCACACAATCTCTCTCTACTCCTATTTCTATAATTTGTACTGCTTCATCCTTCAACTCCAACTGCCCGTGCCCCCTCCTTTCCTCCTCTTTTATCTCATCCCACCTCCATGACTTTAGCTCCTCCTTCTCCCCTTCCTGTCTACCTTCCGCTAAGAACACTTTTATGGCTTTATTGTTCCCTTCTTCTATGTCATCTAGATTTATCAGTTCTCCGATGACACATCCCTCATTTACTTCAACTTTTGGGGAGGACGACACATCTCTTGCTCACAATGAAAATTCATAACACTTAATGAACTGTACGTGTGTCTGTGTGTGAAAATAAGGGTAAAAGAATTGGGGAAACATGGACAAATTACAAGTTGAAGACATTCTCATCTGCCATCAATCCCTGTAAAATTCCATCAGTTTTGAAGCAGAGCAATTTTGTAGTAACAGCAAAAGCTGAAAGCACTCAAAATCGAACACCACAGTGCAATCTTCTAAGCAATATGATGACTTCATCAAGTTAAGCAGGGATCAGATTCATTCTCCCATACCTTTCCCATAGTTTGGCGCACACTTACGTTGCACTGATAGACACTCGGAAATCTCTGTTGCTGTCAACATAGTAAAAATTCTCTGCTGGTTCCAGAACAATTTCAAAGCTTGGCAACACTGAAAAAAATAATGATATAATAATCATATAAGGCTAGCAATCTTACAGGAGAAACTGTAACTTCCCAGTGCAAAAATGAAGGGGGAAAACAAGGCATCTTCCCTGAGGAAAAGTCTGAGGATTATTAAAAGGAATGTGATTGGGAACTGGGGATGAAAAGCCCAGCACAAAGATGGCTTTTCTTCCTACCATATTCCTTGACTTCGAACGGTGTGCTGAAGGTCTCATCTGGGGAGTCTTGATACTTGGCCACAGCTTTCCAGGTCCCCAAACTAGAAAAATTGAAAACAAAACATGTTTCATTGTTTCTGTTTTATAGACACATGACAATACATGAAACGAGCATGGCTGCTCTTCTCAACATGTTTGGGATGACTGTTAAGTCGGATATATTTTATGATCTTCTATGCCCGTCCATGGAAGACAGGCTCAAACTTTGAATACAATGGCTGACCACAAAGTTGTAGTCCCTGGACATGAAGGGCTGGAGCCTGCATCTTCCTCCTTCTCCTCCCAGTTATAAATACCCACTTGACCATGGACCTCATGAGTGGCATACTGCACCTCATGCCCACCTATCTACCTCCCAGGGTTGTTGGAAGAATTGTTTGGATTCATGCTTCCCCACTTTCCTTAAAGGACAGAAGGGAATAAATGGGCAGTACCAAGGATGTGTCCAGCGAGGGGAACTTATCCCGGCTTGGTTTGTACCAAAGAAGGTTCAAAAGGGTTGCTTGAAGTGTGCTATATGCCATTTAAATGGATCCTTCTGTTCAGACACAAATGTGGACCTTTTACAGGTAGTTTTGGGACACTGGACCTGAAATCACTCCAGTTCTTACAAGTAGAAAAGCCATGCCCTCTTGCAGCCTAAAAAGATTCCTGAGAGAGAAATAGCCTCTGCCTCCCTCCCTCCTTCTAGAAATGGGATGGTGCTGATTTGGATAATAAATACCAAAAATAATAAGCATTTGGAGCAGAGACAGGAGCGGAAGAGTGAATGCGCGCACACGCTACCTCTCTGGAGCAAATCACAAGGATGCCAATATTCACAGGGGATGGGTTTCAAACCCCTCTCCATGGATGCTAAAAACCATGATCTCTGGCTTCCTCTAGTGGTCAGTCCTGGTCAATAAATGGTGGAAATGTGTATTATATGTATTTTGGGTGTGTGTGTTTCTTTTAATATTTTTAGTATTTCAAGGCCATGGAATTGTGAAACTATGGATACTGATATGACGGTCCTACTGCATCTGCAATCACTTGTGCCAGGAATCAGCTAAAACAGATCACTTCAACTCATACAAGAAAACAGTAGCTCTGGCTGATTATCCAAGAAGGTCTGATTCAACATTCAAAAGGGCTGGACTGGTTAGTAAAAACAAACCACCCTTCACTGTGCTGCCAGCAGCTCAAAACAGGGGAGAAATCACAATGTCATCAGCCTTTAAGACCAGGAATCGCAACTCCTACAACAATAGAATGTGAGTGCTCTGGGTATTCTCAGCTTAATATAAAATGGGGTTTGTTCTGTTTTTCGTAATTGCTGTTTCAGCTCAGATTCTGTGCAGGTTTGGTATATGGTAATATGCAGTAAATTACCTGACACGTTCCGGTAAATTGTAAATCTGGGTGACTGTTGATGCAGGGTTGATTATATTCTGGCCGACAATAATGCCTTCAGGTGTCTGGAGGGGAAAACAAAGTATTTTAAAGTGTCTGACTGTCTGAAAAATCCCTGCACATATTATTAGTACTTCACACCGTAAGAGTTCTTGTGAAACACAAGATTTTAGCCTGTCTCCACAATGGTTGTCTGCCCTCAGGATGTGGAGAAACTAAGTAATATAAAAGATAGAGTACTGAATGATGACAAGTTATACCTGGATCCAGATCCCAATACAGCCACAAAACACACTGGGTGGCCCTGGGTTAAGCAAAAACTCTGAAGTGCTTTGAGGATAGGTGTGGACATACTGACTTCAAGAATATCATGAATACAGTATATAAGAAAGATATGAATATGGCCAAAGCAACCTTTCAGAGGACTGCATCTTTCCTGTTCTTACATTACTTTCTCCCAGCAATGTAAACTGCTTTGTAATGCATGACTCCATAATTAGGCATGAAAGGAAGCCACTGTTTACATTTCCAAAATAATCCCAGAAAAACGTACACTTCTCTTAGAACATGTATTCACATTTGCTCCTTTTTGCCACTTGAGGGAGCATTTCTTCTGGAACGGTATTTCTCTGAATGTGTGCTCGGGCCCTTACTGAAATAACTGTTAATCCTGGGGTTTTGGTGGAATTAGATACCATTTCTATGAAAGCGACACAATTTAAGGCCCAAAACCTTTGGCATGAAATAGAAGATTCAGGAAAAGAGCACACACAAGTTATTTCCTCCCCCCACAAAAGCTATTAAGAGTTATATGAAGTTTTCTCAGTCATCAACCACAAAACCCTGTAATGAAGAGCCAACAGTCTCTGAATATACACACAATTACACCCACGGAACACACTCAAACACACAATGAAAAGGCACAATCCAAAGACCACACTGTTTTT